AAAATTTACAGTAAGGGACTCAATGCTGTCTACCCCCGATATATAACGGGTGAGGTCCTCAGTAAATGCGTAGCTGTTCACGTGTCGCACCGAGTTGTTCTGAAGAACCTGGTCCAAGTAGACGGGGTTACAAGTCTTAGGTCTCGAGAGACTGGTGGGTTCCGAAACTTGAATATACTGGGGGAAGGCGAGCGTCACATCTTCCATGTTTCCATGATGTTCTTCCATCATCACCGGGGCTGGGTGTGAGCTCAAGTACTTGGCTAGAAGTCCCTGGTCCTTGACAACATGGCCTAGCTCGTACACAATGTGTGTGAGAGCGAATGGGCGCGAGAACCGGACGTCCGACGAACCACCGGTACGAACAAACTCATCAAGTGCACCTTCGTCGCCAAGCAAGTGTTTAGACGACCGCGGTATGGCCATGGCCAATTGATGGCGATCGGCAGCGTTTAGAATGCCATAGACATTGTCCTGTAGGAGTTCAGAGGGTAGCGAATTCATGGTTGGAGTGGTGGGTCTTAAGGTTGTTATTACTGTAGAGATGCTGAGAGTGTGATGTTGAGCTGGATCGAGACTACGGTTTTATACTAGTCGCGTCGGCAAAATGAGGCACCGATTATGGGTGGTTGACCGGTAAGGGGCGATCGGTGAACCACCCGGTTACAGTCAAGCCCTAAACTGGCTAGGAAAAACCCCACATCCCTTAAACAGGTACTAATGACTCATGTGTATAACAAGTGGTTTGTGTTTAGGGCTTTTATCAAGACGAGGGTTTATGTTTTAGGGTAAAGGGGTTTTTATTTAGAGTTTAGGGTTTTAGAGTTTGGGGTTTAGAGATTTAGGATTAGGGTTTAGTCGTTGCGAAACGAAAGTTAAACAACCGGAGGGGTCCTGTGATGCCGACAGGTATAGGGGGCTTTGATGATTCTCTGCTTGCACGACTTGCCGTCTTTCTTTGTAACCCCACACCTCATCTTGCGATAGTTTCTTTTAGCGGTTACCTCGACCTTGGGTGGAACTGGGTCCATAGGTCCAGAGTGAAAGACGTGGCTGAATTTCCAGCTATCGATAATCTGAGCTATGCGATCGTCGTTCTTCAATTCCCGATGTATTAGCAATACAAAAACGTTGTTCCACACAATAACATTGGTCGTTCGGTCGTAGCACACCCTCAAGAGTTTCATTGTATTCTCAAACGTTTTCTCGGTGTCGGGCACAACGCCTGTCGCCTGGAGGTCCCTGGTAATGTTGAGGAGGTTAATGACATTACGATTCAACCAACCTTCCACACACATATCAACGTGTTTGGTAAAGTGACCCTACCCTGGTAGTCCAGTAGGTCCGCCGTGATGGAGTCCTTAAACGACTTGACCATTTTTAAAATCAGTAGGCGCAAAAGCGGAGAGTGGGTTTTGCACAATTTGGGTTTGGGGTGTGAGTGTGACTTATAATGAACACTTACTCGCCATATATATACCAACTACTTTGTTTGGGGGTTTAGGAGTTTGGGGTGAAAGTATACCCGACCCCGGGGGGGTTCACCGATCGGACCTCACCGGTCAACCATACTTTACGATAGTCGCGTCTGGGTATATATAGATAAGACGCAGCCGTCGACGAGCAGTCACAATTATATTTTTGTTGCCCACCCCCTGATAATCATGACGTCCAACAATGGTAGTAGCAGCGACCTCGGCGGGTTTGGGAATGGGTTCACGTCGTACATTGATCTCACGGGCTCCGAACCTATAACGAGGGTGGTACGTCACGAACAAGGAACGACGTCTGACGAACCCAACATGCCCACGGCAGTGACGCAAATGTGTCTACTGGGCCCCATACACACGATACACCAGACCAATAGATCTCAAACCACCACCT